GCTCCTCGGTTTACGAGAGATGAGGACCGCCTCCGTGGTCTAATGGTTGAGCGTCCGCCCGGAAAGCGGAAGGTCCGGGGTTCGATCCCCAGCCGCGTCATACCAAAAGACGTTAAAAGATGGTACTTGTTGTTACCCTGCCCGGCGCTCGGCATTAAGGAGCTAAAACAAGGACTGGTCGGCTCGGAGTCAGTATACTGTGTCTGAGTGGGGTATTCATGTTAAACTGCGGCATGGTATCTCAGTGAGCTAGCACTATAAATCGGCATCAGTCCGGACTAGTACCAGCAGCCACACACACACATATACACGTGCATGCACGTCGCTATATAAGTGCAATAGTCTTGGACGCGACGTTAAACCCCATTTCACCTCACCTATGAGAGATGAACAATTGTTTATTTCTTGACAAGGCTGCCATTGTACCTTTTCCAGTAAATGCATGTGAAAAGAAATATACTTTCTTACTCAACTGCCAGGAATTTGTTGTCGCTGAAATGTCGAAGCGACGTTAAACACTCACTCACTTAATCACTCAAATGTGAAACAAAGGATACTGTTTTCAAAGTGCTCCCAAACTCGGACACGCGCACCTGTTTTCGATTGTTTTATTTTACGGACGCTTCACTTATTCGCTACCTTCGTGTCACATCGCCTTATGGCATTCGTCACCACTCGCCCCTTTCCGTAACCTCCAAGAAGACGCTATTCGGCTTGTCCCGGAATAACACGAGTTGGTCACGAATGCGCCTAAAGGGCGATCTTTTTGTTCCAAAGGGCAATAACTCTCCTTTTGAAATGATATAAGAGACGGTCCAACCTGTCATCACAGGTGTCAATTCATTGATCCATCATTTCTTACAGAATTCTGATACTCATGCTCTTAAAATAGTAGTAAATTACAGAGATTTGTCCCAACAAACAACAAATCATACTGACTACCCCACAAAATGTGTATGATGCATAAATAGATCTAAATCATAGTTTTATCTTCTTGTTTTAGTAACATTATATTTATATTTTAATGTTGACAATTTAACTATTTCCCATACAAACCCACACACTATCCTGCTGTATCTAAGTATCCCGATTTTCATTCAACAGTACTTCAAGACACCTGTAGTATAAAGTGTATTTTGTAGATGTTATTATCATATAGCAAATATGAATTTAGAAAGTTTCTCATCAAATCTTCTGATGGTTAAATAAAAGCAAATTGAACCCCACAGTCATTCCATGTAGATAAATGGATATATTTATGTTATTTGTTTTTACATATAACAGATTATACTTACATATGTTACAGTCAGTGTCTATAATCAGGCCCAATATGTATTTTAAATGAAACTTTCAGTCAATGTGCATATTGTCTGATTCACTCAGGCAAGGTATATTTTTTCTTTAAAATTTTCATTAATTTATTATTGCCTGAAAAACAGGACCGGATTTTAGACAGACTGGTTGAAATGAATAAGACTGCATAATTTAATCTCCTCAATTTAATTTGGATCTATTTTGATCTTATCGGGATCAAAGTAACTTATGTAAGAAATTAAAAATGTTTTCACAATGAGCTGACTGATTCTCCAAACATGAAAGAATACCAGAGTCCCTTTTTTATGTTACCTATCTTTATTAGCATAATATTCAGTTCAGAAACAGATGACTGCTAAAAGTCATGCATGTGTAATCAAATACTAGTACACATGCACAAGTATGCCAAGATATTAAATAAAATAATAAGAGTCATTGTGCAATGCAGATATCTTTTGGCGTGAAGAGAATAAAGAATAACATTAATAATTTGTTTATGTTGGAATTTGAAACATCAGTTTAGAACAAGGAAACATAAAAAGCAAGGCCTAATGAAGTTAAGAATCAGCTTTATCTGTGTCACAATCATATGATTATTGTCAATGAAAACTGGATGTAGACACTACACTGTTAATACAATCAACATTATAGAGATTGACAATTAGTATGAATATATTGTTTTATTTTATAAAAATTGTAGTTGGTACAAATACTTTTGAATATGTATTTTAACTAATATATAGGGTCCTTTGTGTCTGAATTTTTTTTCTACTTTGTAAAATTAAAAAAAGGCCAAAATAATATATATCTTTCATTGATCATATTGAAATATAATCATGGTAGTATTTGGCAACAAACAGCTACCATTCATATACATAAATCCTTTTATACAAAATGCACCAATTAACCCTTAAATATCAAAACAGATTTTAGTTATTTCCATTTCTTTTATTTTGAACATTGTATCATGATATCTAGTTGATGACGTAATTTTACAGTGCCTTTTACTCTTACAATTTCTTGAGAACATTTCTCATTGCTCTCTGTTATATATCTGACAAATACTTACATGTGTTGCTGTCAATATTCCCAACATTGAGGCTACGGGCAACGTTGCATGAGACCTTCACATTTCGCGTATCGTATCGCCCCACCGCTGTACATACTGAAATATAGCCATATGATGTAGCCCTCTCGACGATGCTACAACATAGATATAGGAACGTATACAAAATCTACTTAATTTTTAAAAGTGTGATATTCATACATGAAGGGCAACACTTTCAGTTCCGATTGCAAAACGTCAACAAAGCGACCTGGGATGAACGACCAGCTGATCTCACCGCATGGCTTCGAACGCCTATCTAGTGGTTAACTATCCAATATAATCAGTCGTGGTCATCCCTGATGTATCATTAAATCAAGGAACATTTATTTCCGGACATGGCAATAGATAAATCACTGTTTAGGCGAAAAGATATGCTGTCCACACACAAGCGTGACCGTTGCCGACAGAGGTGAAGGTTATACCAGTTAACTGTCTGTTGACCTTTTTCACACTTTCGCCATCTTGGATCGAAAACGAGGCTTGGAGAGCATAGCTCCATGCAGTGTGAGTCGCATCAGCTCATAGGGAACAGACAGCATGTTGTGCATTTCACTGATGGACATTTCAAACAAACAAAAATGGTATCCTCTGTATCTAATACAGAAGATATTACACATTTAATCATGAGGTCCAACTAAAATATGCCTGTAATACACTGGAATTAGCATTTTGCTGTCAGGATTCCGGAAGTGAATCGAAAGGTGCATTTCGAGATACGTTTTTCAGAAATAGATTGTTTTATCATAACCTCGTCGGCATATAGGTACAATGTGGCAGTACATTCACTGACAGAAGTTTTGTATCGTAAATGAACCGCATAACATGAAACACGTCAGTGTACTTTTGCAAATTTGCTATGTCAATCAATACGTGGCTTGGCGAACTCGAGATCGTCGATCATGTTTATTTCACGTTTCATAGTGGTGTTTGCTGCACAACGCACTATCGTTTTGCCATGAGTCCAGTTGACAAAAGAAACTTTTTCTGCTATGATTTTCATCTTAACATATTACGATGTAAATGAAATTAGTTCACCAAATAATTCGTGTGTCAAAATACATATTCCGAAGAAGACCCCGGTTCAATTTCCCACATGGATACAATATCCGAAGGCCATTTCTGGTGTTCCTTGGCATATTGCTAAAAGCTTCGTTAAACGACACTCACTCACACCCCCACCCCAGCCCGTGTACCTCTGCACCCTGCACCTTTGTACCCTTGCGCCTTTGCACCCTGCACCTTTGCACCCTTGCACCTAAAAATTTGCACTACTGCACCTTTGCACACCTGCACTTTGTACCCCTTCACCTTTGCACCCCTATACCTTTGTATCCCTGCACCCCTGCGCCTTTGCATCCCTGCGCCTTTGTATCCCTGCACTCCTGCACCCTGCATCTTTGCACCCCTATACCATTGTATCCCTGCACCCCTGCACCCTGCATCTTTGCACCCCTGCGTCTTTGTACCCCTGCGCCGTTGCACCCCTGCGTCTTTGCACCCCTATCTTTTTGTATGCCTGAACCCCTGCGCCTTTGCACCCTGCATCTTTGCACCCCTGCGTCTTTGCACCCTGCATCTTTGCACCCCTGCGTCTTTGCACCCTGCATCTTTGCACCCCTGCGTCTTTGCACCCTGCATCTTTGCACCCCTGCGTCTTTGCACCCTGCATCTTTGCACCCCTGCGTCTTTTAACCCATGTGCCTTTGCACCCCTGCGCCTTTACACTCTGCATCTTTGCACTTCTGCACCTTTATACCCCTATACCTTTGCATCCCTGCGCTTTTGCACCCCTGCGCCTTTGCACCCCTGCGCCGTTGCACCCCTATACCTTTGTATGCCTGAACCCCTGCGTCTTTGTACCCCTGCGTCTTTGCACCCTCCATACCTTTGTATCCCTGCACCTTTGCACCCTGCATCTTTGTACCCCTGCGTCTTTGTACCCCTCCGTCTTTGCATCCCTTCACCTTTGTATCCCTGCACCCCTGCGCCTTTGCACACCTGCACCTTTGTACCCCTGCACCTTTGCACGCCTGCACTTTGTACCCCTGCACCTTTGCACACCTGCACCTTTGTATCCCTGCACCTTTGCACGCCTGCACTTTGTACCCCTGCACCTTTACACTTATGCAAACCTCTGGTGTTTCATTCACAAGAAATCACCAGGACAAACTAACAGTTGATAATTCTATCGACTTCGTACGAACGGTAGTCCTAGCCAATTGCCCGAAACGATATCAATAGTCCGTAAGCCGGTTTGTTGAAAAAGGTTGTTAAAAAACAGCACTAAACATAGAAAAACATGGTCAGATGCATAGATGTGTATGATTCTTTTAAAAACATAACTAATTTTACACAAAATCATCAAATTACTGCGGCAAGATGATTCAATCTGCACTGAAGGCGAAAACGAAAACTGCTTGTCGAAAGACTGTTTCTGATTTTGTGAAGTATAACCGGTAAAACCAACGTACTGCACGTGACCCAAATGGCGAACAGCCATTGGACCAAAGCCTTTAGCCGTGCTCTTATAAGTCAATTATAGACCTGAGAACATATACCGGTATATGGTCTTTGAACTAATGAAATCATTAATGTATACATCAAAGATACTCTATCTGTTCACGTCATCTCTGGAAACGAGAGCTTTGCGTTTCCAGGGACTATATTTATAAGCATTCTTATGAATACCGCCCCAGTGTCTACACAACCTAGAAAGGGCACACCTTTCTCACAATGCATTTCGCTGCATATCAAGTTGTCAAGAAAACTAGACCCTGTCATGCTCAGCCTCGTATTGGTGTATTTCAATATGAGGTTCTGTAGACAGGAACAGACCTTCACGATGTCTCACCTGAAATCACGTATGAACGCGGTTGCGAAATGTGAACCACGATCGTTGCTTAACTGGACATACTTGGAACTTTAACCCCGTGCTTGTGGCACTGACAACGACATGTGGTATGTGGATGTTATATCCGTGAGTTTTGTAAAAAATAATTACGTTTCTAAATCGTAAGATACAAAATAACACATTTCGTGGCCATCATCGTTGTCACAGGTGTTGTTTTGGGGTTTTATATTTTTATTAAGATAACTGAACAACTGTTTTTTTATGTACGATATGTTCATTTCAGAGACTAGATTTTAGTCTACCTGTTTCAGTTTGTTTAAGAATAGGTGCCCTTAATCTTAGCAGTTCGGAATACGCCTCTCCTGTGTAGCTTCGTGCACACGAAGAAGACCTTTTTATTATGTGGGTAAAGAAGGTCAACCACTTGTGCGTATAATACCTTCACCAAAAATTTAACGCATGAGGAGAAAAATTCAATAGGCTTTGGCGATGTATTGCTAACTGCAAACCAGGAATCTCTGCATGACTCGTTTGCCCCAAGCGTATATTACCTTTGTGTTTTCTGTTCTCATTTACTATTAATCATTTATTATTTAACGCACATTTCGTTTGCTCCAAGCGTTTATAAACTCTTTTTATACTTTATATTAATCCTTCATTATTTAACGCACATTTGTTTATATGGCACATCACGTGACAGGGCACTTAATTAAATAAAAAAGACGCCCTGTTCTGATGTATATACCTCTATTAGTATTACATTGGACTATTGGTAACCAACAAATTTGTGGTGGCACGTGGACCTGCCTTGTACGCCAATAGTCGCCTCTTACGGCCAGCAATGGCGTGCTGTGGACACGACACATTCTACCCAGGTTCCCCAGGGGGAAAACACACATGTAACGGCAGGCTTTAAGGGTCATGTTGTGAAGTAATTGTGTTTCATATAAAGTGGACCCGTGAGTGAGTGAGTAAGGTTTTACGCCGCTTTTAGCAATATTCCAGCAATATCACGGCGGGGGACACCAGAAATGGGCTTCACACATTGTACCCATGTCGGGAATCGAACCCGGGTTTTCGGCGTGACGAGCGAACGCTTTAACCACTAGGCTACCCGACCGCCCAGTGGACCCGTGAAGATCCGGGGTAGAATAGGTCTTAAGAAACCCATGCTTGCCGTAAAAGGCGACACAGCATAGTCGCCATTTACGGCAAGCATGGGTTGCTGAGTGAGTGAGTGAGTGAGTATGGTTTTACGCCGCTTTTAGCAATATTCCAGCAATATCACGGCGGGGGACACCAGAAATGGGCTTCACACATTGTACCCAGGTCGGGAATCGAACCCGGGTCTTCCGCGTGACGAGCTAACGCTTTAACCACTAGGCTACCCGACCGCCCCCATGGGTTGCTGAAGACCTTTTCTAATTGGGATTTTCACGGGTCTTGGCTCCTGAGAGTTTCTAGGGCTTCGGTTCTGCCCCACTCTGAAGCACATGTAGCTTGACGCAGCAGCGAATGGATGAGATGGCAATGTGGTTGTTACCCTTCTAGCGCCTACTATACTCCCCAGGGAGCTGAGAATGATTCTTGAGGACAAACTGATCCAGTGACCGGGGAAATAATAGCGCTTTGAGCATGCCCCTGGGGTGTGTGGAAATATGCGCAATATGAATAGATTATAATAATAATAATAATAATAATAATAATAATTATTATTATTATCATTATTATTATTACATAACAAACCGGTTGTTAGTGTGTGGGAGCTGCATCAGCACAATCGTCGTTCTCCGTGGTCTGGCGTTGTTTCAGAATCCGTCTTTAAGGTCGCGGTACTTCGTTTTGTTGTCAGTGGCTTTTCCCCGGCTGCGACTACATCGTTTTTTTGTCTTTGCGGTCATCTGAAGCAATTCGGGATTTTCGTAAGCTCACATACATGTACGTTTGGTGGCCTTTCCTACTAGTTCACTCATAAACTCGACGAAAAGTGTCCACTCATGAACTTAATCAAACGCGTTCGTCATAGCTGATGATGACACAAACACGGGAAAAACTTCAATAGAAAGAGTGAAAAGATCATGAATGGTCTGCTTGGTGTGAAGATGTGAACCTTCCCGACTCTGAAGGCGTTGTATTCCTGAAAGTACCCAAGCCTAAGTGTACCCCGGAGCGTTAAAGCGTCAATTGTTGGACATACCCGGATATCCAAATATTTGGCGACTTATCACGGGGTCCCACGTTGGCAGTTTCTTTGACATGCCGAGAGATAATCCATGTATTGTGATTAGCAAGTGCTTCTCTGATGTACCGACTATAGTCTGTATGACATACTGTGTCCACAACGGTATATTATGAACAGACGATGTACAGCTTGCTGTGCGTAAAGAATGGTATTCTATGGGGTGTATATGTTTTTAAAATTTTAATTCAATGTTAGAATCTGGTACCATCTAAAAACATAACACGAGACCATCAGCGATTTACCTAGTTTCTACGCCCTAAACACCATTGACGTCTGGCCAAATTGTGTCGATTTGTTAACGGCTGTACAACAGGTGGTCGCCGCGCATGAAGTCAATATCTAATCGTTTTCCTAGGCACTTGAAATCGGGTGGCCTGCTGCAAGTGAACAGCAATTTCCAAAAAAGTCTGCAAAATCTCAGACTGAGACACATTGAACATTTGGTTACCTATCGCTTAGTCCTACCAGTTTGAAGCATGCCAGAGCCCTCAGGCGTTCATCACGTTCTAGACGACGCATTCCCAACATGATTTCAAAGACTGCACCGTAAGTAGTTGAAAAGCGCTTACGGGTTACTGTTTGTGGATAACGAAAATCAACAATGCTGATGGTTTAGGGCGATTTGACGACCTTTCACTGAAGTGTCAAAATCAAGAATGACCCCTTTCCAATGTGCCGGGTGTGTTGGGGCGTTAGGACCTTTCTGTTGACGACCTATCGTAATACCTCGTCATGTGGCCTAGTGTTACAAAACCCCAGGGCACGTAATACTAAAGGTTAATTCATGGCTATTCGTGTTAAGTCCGGGACAAGCCTACTAGCGTCTTACATGTTGTTGATAGGGCTGGGTGCGAAGAATGACACCCAGACTATCATTCGTCACCACTTGCCCGTCTCGGAACGTGCAAGAAGACTCGTCTCCTAATCAATCAACGTTTGGTGCGAATGTACCATAAACCAAGTGGAATGTGTGTATTGCTAATTACTTTGGTCAAATAGGTTTCCTTAATAGCTTTTGCTTATAGATATATTTGTATGTAGATTATGCCAAAGTTACAGTCACAAATCGTTCACAATACTGAAGAGCAAGTGTCTGTAGTTGGCAACAGTGTTTGTTTGTTTGTTTGTTTGTTTGTTTGTTGTATTTCAAGCATAGTCGCCTTTTACGGCAAGCATGGGTTGCAGAAGAGCTACTCTACCCCGGATCTTCACGGTTCGAGTCGCTATGCATTCAGCTTGACCCGGAGTGACTCGAGAGGCCATGATTGACACATTACATGCGCGGACGTTACGTTATGTCACATTCATTAAAATAATTCTGTCAGGGTTGTGGCGATGACGACGATGAAGATAACCAATTACTAGTTGGTCGCGTATTTAACAACATAATGACTGACACAGTCCTCATGATCATTATAGCAAAGGAAAGGGTCATGCTTGAGATTGCTTCATGATAGCTGGTATGTGCGTGGCCCAGGGCGGGTGTTTCGGAATGTTCGTCATAATGCACGTTGGCCATTGACCTTCACTCGGGCACCGTGTATTCCTTGACTAATCGCAGAATACTGGGGCAACCTTTCTCAAACCTAGCTCTGAACTCTCCGACATATATAACTTGTCAGAACCATCGCCAACATCTTAATACTACGATTACCTGCCTAAATATACACCTGTGTAAACCAACAACTTGTCAAAACCGTAACGACATCTAAATACTCCGGCTACCTGTCAAAACAACTTGTATAAACCGTTACCGACATCTTAATACTCCGACATTCTGCCTAAAAATACACGCGTGTAAATCAACAAATTGTATAAACCCTTAACGAAATCTTAATACCCCGAAACCCTGCCTAAGCCAACACTCGTGTAACCTACAACTTGTATAAGCCGTTACCGTCATGTTAGTACTCCGACTACCTGCCTAAACCAACACCCGTGTAAACCAACAACTTGTATAAACCGTAACCGACAACTTAATACTCCGAGTACCTGTCTAAACCAAAACCCGTGTAAACCAACAACTTGTATGAACCGTTACCGCCAACTTAATACTCCGAGTACCTGTCTAAACCAACACCCGTGTAAACAAACAACTTGTATATACCGTTACCGACAACCTAATACTTCGGCTACCTGTCAAAACCAACAACCGCGTACATCAGCAACTTGAATAAACCAGCAACTTGTCAAAGCCGTTTCCGACATCTTACTACCCCGACTAACTGTCTTAACCAAAACCCGTGTAAACCAACAACTTGTATATACCGTAACCGACTTCTTAATACTTCGACTTCCAGTCAAAACCAACAACCGCGTACATCAGAAACTTGAATAAAGCGTTGACAACATCCTAATGCTCAATCATTTCTAATAAATCCAGTCATAATTTAATTTACCTTACTAATTATCATTTACCAACGGCATTATCACATTATCATACACAATATCCTCAAAAATATACAAACCATAATTAGTTCGACCTGCTTTTTTTTAAGGTGAAATAAATCACGACAGTGCGTTATCACACACGCAAACGATTTACTCTCTGGCAACAAATTCCTCTTAAATCCTCGAGTATTGACCAGATGACTCTGAACTTCCACCACATGCTTTCGTCATCCATTAAACAAATATACCACACGCCCACTTGATAAACATAAAACAACGACCTGAACGTTAAGCTCAATGACCTTAAAAAAAAAAATAACACAAAAAAATTCGCACGGAAGACTGTTAATAGGAATGTGTCGTGTATGATATTTGTCAAACATGTAATTGATGGTGATATGCAAACTTTAAGGTTGAAAGTGTAGGATTGCTCCCTCTGACCGAGATGTGCCGAGTGTCGGTCACGTGTCACGAGCGTAATGCTCGTCGCATTAACTGGCCGGCAGAAGGAAGTTGGAGTGAGACAAGGCTCCGAGCTGAGCCTACGATCGTTGTTGAAATATGAGCCCTGGAGTCACGTGAGTACAGCCTATCGTTATTATAACTTAAGTAACTTTTCAACGCTTTCATTTAAAAAATTATAACAACATCAAATGTAGACTTAAGGCGCTGATGTAAGATCTATTGAACAAGCGATGTTCTGATATATGAATATGTGTAAGTTTATGACCAACGAGTATTTCTTAGATATGGGTAAAGACAGTCGACGTATGGCAAGAATTTCATCTTGGGCCACGTACCTGCTCATAGTTAGACTTTTCCCCGAATGATCAGCTTTTCACTTTTTTTATCCATATTTATATAATCACGAGTAATGGAGACAGCATGATATCTAGCGCCTCTAAACATGCATTTTATTTGATTGATGACTTAACATTTTGTGAGGACCCACAACATAATTTCTTTCAAAATATTTAGCTTGTCCAGTAAGCGCATTTAAATTTCTTTAAAAAAAATATTTTTTCGAAATGTTCCGGAAATAATATTTACAAAAAAACCCCAGATGTGTTATTCTTAAAAACTGATCAAATCGACGTTAAACCTGCCTCATTCGCTTATGTTACACACTAAATTCGAGACAACTTAAATTCCGATTAGTTATGTATCCTAATAAGACGCCCATGGCCACCGTCTTTAAGGACGTGTCGCTGGTTGTGACAACAAATCTGTTGAAGCTCGGCAAACAAACACCTGCACACATACCTTGCTCTATACGTGACCACTCGTGTCATTCCGGGACATGTCGAACGACCTTCTTGCAGTTATCGCAGTAGTAGTATGAATAGTTGTGGTAGCAGCAGCGGCCGTAGAAGTTTGTTTATTTGTTTGTTATTTAACACCACACTCAGAAATATGCCAGCTATATGACGACAGTCTGTAAATAATCGAATCTGGTCGAGACAATCCAGTAATTGATATCATGAGCATCGATGGGATACGATGACATGCATCAACCAAGTCAGCGAGCCTGACCGCCCGATCCCCTTAGTCACCTCTTACGACAAGCAAAGACGTATTTTACGGCAAGTATGGGTTGCTGAAGAACTCTTATAACGTGGATCTTCACGGGACCACAAGCGGCAGTATTTTTGTAAAAAGATTCTTGTCATATAACTGGAATTCTGCAGTGAGCGGTGTTAAACAACAACATTCATACTTTCAGGACAGAGTTGCGTCCCTTGGGCACGCCAGGAACCTATGATTGTGGGTTCGTGTTTCTAGATTTGTCAGCACCATACCCGTACTCATGGGTTTCATCGAAGTGGTAATCGTTTGAGACCTGCCTCACTTCGGGTTTCCTCCCACGTTAAGCTGACACGCCGTGGTATAACTGGAATACTGTTGAAAGCGACGTTAAACCCAACACACTCACTCACTCATTCTTGTGCCTACCCTTTTAAGAGACAGATGCCACATGCAAAATAGTTCCCAAGGGAGGTAACTGGTTTGATCGTGAATCTATCCATGCACGCAATGAAAGGAGATAATTTCGTGTGTTTCATGCTTCGAATAATGATGTAGATAGACAGGTGTATATTTCCGCATGGGCGTATCACAATACATTTGTCTGATCAAATTGTCTCAAACACAAGCTCAAGGGATATTTGAAGAAAATTCACACTCTGCGCCAAGTGCAATCTCATTAAAATGAAACCTCAGTACTCGCTATCGCTCGACAAAGATCTGAGGACTACTTTGACCGACCAATAAACTAACATGAGCCAATCAGAAATGGGTTCTCAAACTTTAAAAGGTACCACGGGGTATGGAAAATCTCGTCCGTTTCAAAGGTTTATCCATTGACCGTGAGATTGTTTGTCCTGCTGAACCGGGAGATTGGCGACGATTTTGTCGGAATCAGTTGTAAAGTCCTTAACTGTCGTTCGGAATGGTTCGTTTTAACCCTCGGAGATTGCGTGTTTAGAAAACAAACACATTCGGGCTTTCACTTTCGCGATCTCGTAAATATATACCATCAACGCCATGGTATAACAATATATTTACAACAGGAAACCTTATACCATGCCGGCGCTTATACAATAGAGCACAATGTATGAATATCAATTTTCTGTCAGAATTTTGTATTGTTGGAATCATAACGTAATAATTTAGGTAAAACAAAACGTCTACGCCAGAGAATAATCAGTCTCGATTATCCGCTGAAACAGATTTCACTGGACGTAAAAGGCAAAATAGGGGTGATAATTACATGAATGGATAACTGAAATGCAGTGATAACACCAGGTGTTTGCGAAAAGAGTTGCATGTCCTGCCCTGCCAGTAGCACCCGCCACTTGTACAATTTGGGTGTATGTGTTTGTTCTCTGACGCCGCACAGCATTAATCCTGCCATGCGCCGGCGGCCTGAAAACAAACCAGACAATCAAGTGATCGATGGACCAGAAAGATTTAATGAGATTGCCCTGGGTAAAAACGTGTAAACAACAGATCTGTTGTGCTGAGATATTTTTTTATGTCATAACAACGCATACTAGATTTTCGCCCTATAATACAAATTGGCAAGCGAGATATTTGACAAGCTTCATTTATGGCATGTGATTTCAAATTTCGTTGTCTTCAGGTAGTTTTATTATCTTTTAGTGAGTTTTATGTCATCGATGATGCTTTAAGCAAAGAAATTTGTTTCAGCTGAAAATTACACTTTCTTTCCTCAAATAATTTTCGTACAATGAATGTATTTCACCTAAAATACAACATGTCTGTTCAATTGAAATAATTCAGGGCTGGGTGCACTCCTGATTGCGTACAGATCCAGATGTCATAATATCGTTTTCTGACAATGGAATAAAATACAATAGGCCCTCATCGCATTCTGGAAACAAATGATGTTTTGAATTAATTTTATTAAATATTTTTATTTTTTCGTTTCAGGTTGTTCCAGAAATGTAGAGCACTCTTGTGTCAGAGACGGTCTCAGGTTATCCGCTTCTACTTCCTCCTATATGGGACAACGTTCTTCCTCGTTCTACCGCTTCTATGTCTCGATCTTCGTCACTCTGTGTACTACTTCCGGTTGAAGAGCAGCAACCAAGAGGGAATACGTTTGCAACGCGAGAACGATCAACGATTGGCTAAGACTCAACAAATCATACAAATGTATGCAGAGTCCTTATCAAAAAGCAACAAATCAACGCCTTTGTTACATTCAGAAAATATAGACGTTGGAATTACCGTGGTGACGGTCTCGAGGAACCGTCGATACAAGGGAGGTTATCAGCCTCGGCATCTCACACAAGGTCTAGGTCGTTTGGTTGATTTGATAAATACCTCCAACACGGAACTGAAATACGGAATATTTTTGTGCAATGTTGACGGTGACCCGGACAGTTATCATGAAGCAAAGTCATTGAATTCAACTTTTACAACGTTTCAGAAATTTAAAGAAAAGCAGACAAAGTTTGTTGATATTTTTGAAAAAGAGAAACTTGATTATATTTATTGCATTGAAGAGACACTAAAACGAAATGCGTCCAATGTATTTATGATCGAGGACGATTCCTACCCACATTACGATTTGTTTATTGTCCTTGAAAAAGTTCTAAAGTATGATAAACAAAAGGAAAAACTGAAGACTAATAATGTGACTTTCATAAAGTTTTATCATCCAGAACGGTTGCTAGGATACATAAGTTTAGAAATGGAGAGACTTCCTGAATTGATTGCATTCGGTGCTGTGTTTGGAACAGTATTAACCGTCCTTGTTATGTTTTGCCTGTTTAAGGAAAGTGACCAAAATGTACAATTGTTGTGGCTATTAAATGTCATATACTTTTCCCTTTTGGCTTTGGCAATTGGTCGTGTGAATTTAATAGAACTGCGCAGGTTTTCTGCGCACATGTACCAATTCACCCAATCGCCATCATGCTGTACCCAAGCGATGCTTTTTCCGCAAGATGGTGCAATGAGTATGGTAAAACATCTTAAAGAGGTTACATGTAAAACGGGGTATGGGAAAGATACGGCTTTGGAGGAGATTCGAAGGAGAGGACACTACAAGGCTTTGATGGTGCAGCCAAACTTGTTTATACACACCGGTCTTTTTTCCACAGTTCGACAAAGAATGGTAAACCCGTACCTTCTTGGGAAATAATAAATGCTGAATGAACAATTCACACATAAGCATAATCATTGGATCTACCTATATTTTGTCGAATGTTGAGGGATACCGAGCTGCAGACTGGGGAAATAATTTGTGCTCTTGCTGATTAAATATTAAATTCTGTTTCCCCTTTTTTATTGTTCCGGGTTTTTATTGTTACGTGTACACATAACATAAGATTGATGTGAAGCATCAACACGGTGCCAAAATCAATGATGTGTGTTGAAAAGACAATCTTTGTGTTCTAAACGTGGAAATATTGTTCAAAACCTAGGGAAACTCGGTCTCGGTGGAATGAATGGCTGCAATTTTTCAAGGTCAATTTCAAATTTCAATGTCATTCATTCATTATAGTTACTAGTACAAAAGAAAAATGTGTACAATAAAGTTAGTGTTTGGTTTTGGTTAAAATGACCACTTTCTCCATCTGGTATCGAAAACGAGGCTTGGAGTGCACAGCTCCATGAAGGGAGATTCGAATTCGAACCCACGATCAAAGGATTTTGGTACGCCTATTGGACGCAGTTCCCCAAAGCGAATTGCGACGCCTTCTACGACTGGGCCGCACGAGTCCCTGCCGTTACGAAGACGCTTTGCAACAGGAAATGCTGTTAGAGCAGCAGGGTCAAGTGCATTGGAAGCACGGTAATCTCAACGTCAAAGTGTTTGTTTGTTTGTTGTTTAACGCCGCACTCAGCAATATTCCAGCTATATGACATTGAGATTACAATGAGACTGGCGCTACGATACCTTTAATTCTGGACCCGTGAAGATTCCGGGGTAGAATAGGTTTTCAGCAACCCATGCTTGCCTTAAAAAGTGACTATGCTTGTCGTAAAAGGCGACTAACGGGATCGGGTGGTAAGGCTCGCTGACTTGGTTGATGCATGTCATCGATCCCAATTGCGTGGATCGATGCTCATGATATCAATCACTGGATTTTCTGGTCCAGACTCGATTATTTACAGACCGCCGTCATATAGCTGGAATATTGCTGAGTGCGGCGTTAAACAACAACAACAACAACAACTTTTAATTCTGAATAAATCTGTCACATTCACTGTTAGGTTGTGTACCAACCACTATTACAAAATAAACTTAGTTTTATTCGATTTTTCCATAACCGGTGAGGAAGCATGAATAACTGTATTTGTTAACATCATTTTTGAGTGCCCTCTCTTTATAAGAAATACCCGTAAAATATATTCATAATTTATATTTTACAGGAGCTTCTTACACTATTTGCTCAGAGTAGCCTACCATTGATCCACAAATCGTTGGATAGGTTGTTTTTTGGTTAACGCCTGTAAGTCTGTAAATAACCGAGTCTTGACCAGATAATCCAGTGATTGACACCATGAGCATCGATCCACGCAATTGGGATACAATGACATGTATCAACCAAGTCAGAGAACCCGACCACCCGATCCCGTTCGTCCCTCTGATGACAAGCATGGGTTGCTAAGGACCTATTCTGACCCGGATCTTCACGGGTTCAATGTCATTATAATGACCATGCGGACGTTACATAACGACAATGGGGTTGAGCATTGATTCTGTCGTGAGGAAACCAAAAACTCTGCCAGCTGTAAAATAAAATAACTATTCAACAAGACCGATAGATGACTACTTACTACAAGAAATCGATTATCCTTAGTTTCAGCCTTGAACACGGATAATAATTTCGACACAAACATTTCGAAATCGTGCGTGCGCACCTCTGTGCATCGTCTTGCATATCATCTCTTGTGTTCAGAGGCAATGTCAAATTGAATGCCAATCGGGGTCTCTTCTGTTCACAGAGAAGTTACGTTTCTACCGAAGATATTCGATTAACCGTGTACGAAGTGCTATGTTGTGGAACTTTACACATTCGGTAGCATGTGGTTGGGGAAGAATTGCTTTTGAAAGGATCCACATCGCTGTACATAATAAGCTTGGATTCTTCATTGTTCTTTGCGATTTATCGCATACGGGATTAAGATCTACAGCTCAATGCAATTTTGGTTATAGTCTGTCTGACTAAAGTGGACAAGTGCGGCTGACACTCTTCTCAAAGTGAATACTGCTCAATTAGTTTCTTAGTATGTGGGTACTTAATACATGAACACTTTTAAGGTGACTTTCAGAAAGGAAATGTCATATTAATATGATAATTATTGTGCGTGAAGGGTGTCAGTGTTACCATGTGTGTGAATTATCTTGAGAGGACTGGACAAACTATAACAGCATACCCCTTAGGTGCACTTTGAATACTAAATTCTATAGTTTCAATACAAAATTTTACACCACTTCCTACCTCTAATTAAATATTATTAAAAATGGGATATGTAGACAGCAATACATGTAGCCTTTGTGACACACACATAGAAACGACTGAACATTTGTTTTGGGATTGCAACAAAGTGAGAACGATCTGGACGGCACTGGAAAGTTGGCTAAATGCCAGAGCACAATTCAAAGGAAATATCACAAACGACATCTTTTGCTTGGATACCAATTCAGAAGTAATGACCCATTAAATCTTATAATTATTCTTTGCAAACAACTTATTGAAAGGCACAAAGCATATTCCATCGTTCCAGATCTTCCAGAATAAACTGAAGCAGTATTACTTCATCTCCAAATGTACGGCACTTATGAGCGGGAATTTAGACAGATTCTATGAATATTGGTCATCATGCCATACACTTGTTTGTAACATGGGAGTAACTGTTTTTTATGCTTTGTAAAAACAATATAAAATGCCACAAATAAAAAAAGTTTTAAAAAATGTGTTTGAATTATCTGTACTGGTCACGCACTTTTTGCAATAATGATGAATGTTCAAATAAATGTTCGTTCTTTTGTTAACCCGCGGGTTGGACAGAATTTAGTTTATAATGGTCATAGATTTACAATCGAGAACAGATGATCTGCTTCGAGACATGCCCATCCTACTACAGAGTACGTACAGGCCAGTCTGTACCGGTCCAGATCCCAACACGCCCCACCATTTCCTCCCCCCTCATCTGATATGCAGCTACCACCAGTCTGCACTCAAACCTCTGATGACAAAACCTTTCTCCTGGACCAAGACGAGAAGATGCTCATAATGAATTATTACCGATAAGACAGCGACGGTACCTTTGCCATCTGCCCTGCCGTCTACAAAGAAGTGTATGCCATGCCTCCGTCAGCGACAATATGTTACCACTAGTCTATGGTCTTCTTCCTGACAAAGCCACGCGTGTGATACCCGTGTGCAACGCGTGTCACACTCATTAGAGGGGGAACAAACTTTTGACCAAAGGAGGACCTATGGGCATGTCTAGCTGAACCTGGAGGTGGTAACAAGGAGATAACTTTTTGATTTCCTGACGAAAAATGTTAATACACATTTTATTATATGTACTTGCTGATGTTTCATTTTTAGATGTGATTACATGGTGTCTTGCGATGGTGTTAAGAGAATACATGATCCTGTTACATGTTATTGCTATTCAAATGCTTTTTTGTGATTTGACATATAGCGTCTGTAGTACGACTTTCAGTGATCATGTTTATGAGGTTTGGTGGAGCGTTGTTTTTATTGGACCCTAATTACTTTATGATGGTTGGGCCTCTTCGTCTCAGCTCCATAGCCGTGACGCTGGGAAAGGGCAGCATTTAATTAATGAGAGTAGAATATATCCTGGAAGATACACTTGAGGGAGAGGGCTATACTAATTACCGTACCACAGGAAGAGACCGTAGACGTGAGCACGGGGTTGTGTGTAAGATGGCCGTCGCATAATGGCCGCCAGGAGTGGTAAACATTGAGCTAAAGCAGTGTTTTTTTCACGGGCCTGTTGAATACATTTCCAGCGCTGCTGTCCATATATCTTCTACTTGATCCTGGATACATCATTTTGGCATTTACATTATAATATTTTTCAACGTACATTAATGGTTTACTAGTCATATATTTTAGAGTATTTGTCAATTGTGTTGAACGTACAAGCAATAATTGTAATTTGTGGTGACATCTAAATTTAAACGTCTTATTTAAAACGCTAAGTAAGTACGATAGTAAATAATAATATTCAAATTGCATTAAAATACAATGATAACAAGATTCATATGTAACCCTAAAGCCTGTGTTCCACATTCATAGCCATGAGGACACCTACTGACTAAACAAAGGGAAGAAGCTTTCCCTTACATATTTGTAGAGACATCATCTGAATATGACTATATATGCAAATGTTACGAAACTGTACCTATCTTCACGAATTATTAAAAAATGGGCATAAAGTTCACGGAGACGAAAGCTATAGATACAATACCATATTTTATTTTTTAGATGATAAAGTACATCATTTGATAATGAATTCAGTTATTGATATCTAAAAACCGATTTTCAATATTAATAAACATTTCATGATAAAACACAATCAAATTTGTGATATAAATTCATTCTTTAGTATCCATAAATGAATTATTGATATCATATAACGAATAAATAGTAAAAAGGCGCCCTATATATTGTTCTTTGTGGACTGTATTAAGTAACGCATTTGCATCACGGCTATAATGTTAATTGCTAGTCTTTTTTCTGCACCATCATTTCATCATTTCTTTCATCTTATGAAAAACTGTTTAAAAATGGCAACTTATAATTAACCAAGGTTATAATACTTACCCGACCTGCGTTTATTTATCTTTCTGTCATTATTATCGTTAACATGTGTCTACTTTTAAGTGTATATACTTATGTCATACATCGTACTGGTTAAGGAATGACACATCATCGCGAGATATATGTACTCCATACACATGATTCTATAGCACAGAAAATCGTTACCCCGAGTTACTGTGTAACGGTTCACCCCTTGTTTTCAGGGTTTATGCACGCCAGAGCGACATTGGGGTGACAATAGTGTCCTCCCAAAACTTCTATATGCCAAAACTTCTACAGCTTAAAACAACAAAGTTTATGGTCCACTGCACCACTAATCTCCTGGCTATTACCTTTTGGGCATTGATTGGAACAGTCCAATTAATTAAGTGTACAACATACAACAAAACAAAACAATTTGAAGACAATGAAGACAATTTACTCATATAGCACTGGTATAAATAAATAGTACACACAACAGCATCAAGGAACT